ACAGATCAGATCTTTTTTTTTAATTTTTTAATTTTATCTCAGATGAGCAGATTTTAAAATAATTATGTTTCTAAACTGTATAGAAAATTTCTCGTCACAATAAAACAACAAAAAATATTATATTTTATGATTTTTTTTCCATTTAATTCAAGCTCTAGTAAAGCTTGAAACGACTGTTCTCAATACGACTAGCAGTATCGAATTTTTCTTTATTAATCAATTTTAAAAGAATATTGAACTGATACGATAGTCGTTTATGGTATTATGAAGTGATATATTCGCAATATCCAATTAAAATAAGTAAGGCCTCTAAATTGATTAAAATTCCAAAGACTAAATGAATGCTAAAATAACATTATCATGAGTATCTCTTGTAATATACCTTCTAAGAGATTTTTTTTTCACCAGTTATGAAATTAAAAAACAAATTGCATATAAAGAAAATTTAAACTAATAAGTTGTTTCCTAACATTCGGGTATAAAGGCTTTTAAATCACTTTTATTACGAAGGGGAGGGGGGAAATGTTTTTTTTTAACACGACGAAACATTTTTTGTGAAAAAAGTGGACATTGGCAGATACAGAGATGCCAACTTGCTCCAGATAGCAAATATATATTTTAAGGTGGTAGTTTATCAATTGTGATTCTTGGTTTAATAAATTCAATTTAGTTGATTTTTACCAAGCACTTTTTCTAAATAATTTCTCAAGTTTATATAATTCACCATTTTGTAGTACTTATGCCATGCTATACCTTTAAAAAAGCAAGCAAAAATAGTCAAATATTTGCGAAATTTGCTTTGTAGTTATTTACCGTTTTCTTAATTATTTTGGCGTGTCCGGAGCAGTTGGCATCTCTGCAGATAAGTATGAAAAGGAACTTAGCTTTCCTAATATTTGCAACTTATGCACAACATTCTTCAATATTTTATTAGTATTTAATTAAAAGCATTAAAAAATTTGGCTGTAAAGCAATCAATATAAATTTTATTGAAGACGTACAATTGATCCACTCTTAACCGGTTAACGCCCAGCGTCATATATTTAGAACAGTTCCTTTTTTCAAAAACATTCATTGTGGTGGGAAACTTTTTTCAGTATTTTTATTTATCTGGGTGAATTAAAAGATTCTCAGATACCACAATGATTTAGTTATTTCTGATTAGATGTAGAATTATAAGTACCACTGAATAGATGTAGAATTATAAGTACACTTTTTGTATCATTTCAATATGTAAATTCGGGACAAAACGGGTTAAGGAAGGTCTGGGTTAAGTATAAAATATATATATATATATTTACAACGCACAATAATCAATCCAAATTGAATAAAAAATAAGATAAAAATAAAATAAATATATACAATAGGAAAATAATCAATGACAGAAAATTATGTCATGAGCTCTGTTACAGTGGTGACCCAGGCGTCCTAGTTGAATAACCACTCGTCTTCTGGGTTGCGCACCCACACTACTTTTAATCATACTACATATTCCTTTGGGAATGTATTCTAGTATATTTTGGCTTTAAATAGGAATAATTTTTAAAAAAAAATCATAGAGGTAGTTACGATTGAATAATCAGAAATAATAAATAATTAAAAATAAATTGAGTTTCTACCATTTTTTACTTTTTTAGTATCCCATGGCATCCCTGCAATAGGTATTTAATACCAAAGAATATATTATTAATAGTGACAAGACAATACGTGGGGACAAGAGGTTTTACATGGGGACAAGAGGTTCGCGTTAATTTTAGGAATTCAGGTATAACACAAGTACAATATACTCTCGATATCTCGAAAACCTTGTTATGTAAAAAAAAAAAAATATTTTCCTCCTTGGCATTATATATTCACCTAATATTAATTTGAATTATTATGTCGAAAGAGTTTCTTCTCTAAACTTTGTTATGTCGAATTGTTTTCGAAATGAAAATTGAATTTTTTCGGAAGAATGGCAATGTAAAATTATTGTACTCTAATTCTTTTCTATTTAATGCATCCTTTTTCTGTCTCACTTTTAAAAGTAAAATTATTATTGTTGTATTTAGACTTATAGTCAACTATCATTACATACACATTTAATAGTAATTATTCTTATGTTACATGATTCAACTTCTTGAAGTAACATTTTAGAATATATTTTTCTACTTTTAAAAACATATTTAGTTCTAAACTTGTTTTCTTGAAATTTTTTAACGTCCCTTCAACTTTGAGGTATCGAGAGTATACAAATCGAGAGTATACAAATCGGAGTATACAAATCGAGAGTATACAGTGCGTAACCAAATTATTCAACACAAAATAAGTACTTTTTAAGCACTTTTCAAGCACTCAAAAAATATTTTTAAGCACTTTAAAAAAATATCATAATTAGGCAGAGTTGGAAAGTTTTTGGCAATCGACGCTCTTACCTTGCTTTAACCGTCATGTCAAAAAAAAACCTTTTGACATTGTTTTCGACAATTGTCAAAAATCATGAAATTTTGAAACATGTAAAACGAATGGCGTTTTCATACGCTACGGACTGACTATAGGCCGAAATAGATTGGGGTTGAATTAATTACGAAAATGTTGAATAGAACAATCTGAACTGCGTCTTTTTGCATAATGCGAAGCGAAAATCAACATAGTAAAGGAAAAATCTCATTTTGAAAAAAGGAAAATTAAGCACTTTTTAAAAAAACGCAATGAAAAAAGCACCTTTAAGCACCTTTTTTAATTCGCTACGCACCCTGCATACTTTGGGTCGATACTATTGACTTAAAATATTTGGTTTCTTGATCTTTTACTACCAGTTTTTAAATTTTTTATGCAAAATGTAGCTACTCTGGATTATTTTCTCCGCAATTTTGAGATGAAAATGTTGGTTGCAACCAACAGTTAATGATCAATTTTAACCCCTTGCACTCCAATGACTCTGAGGGACTATCAACAGTCGTCACTTTAAAATTAGAAAATTTTTGTCACTTAACAATAAGTAATCACATTATCTAAAGAATTTTAAAAATTATTTGTAAATACTGTATTTTACTTTTTTTAAATAACTTGTCACTTTTCCAAATGAAGTCTTTACAACCGTCGCTGACTAGTAGACTCAATTTTTGGGTTTACGACTACTATTCTTCAACTCCGTATCCTTGTAATTTTGAACCCAACCCAGAAGACAACAGAACTCCTGGATCAAGTATAGGGAGAAATTTGCCTTCGTGGAAGACTCTTTGATGGAACTCACCCGCATTTGCGTTGCATGGAAAGGAAAACCACGAGATCCTCCCACAGTTACCCAGACGGCAAAGGAACTCTAACCCATAATCCGTCTAACCATGAAACCGTCTATAGGTTGTTTTTTTATATCAGCCCCGTTTTCGATGCGAGCAGGTTGCGGAATTCATATCGACCAGCCATCGCTGGGATTCGAACCCGTTTCACCTCTTTGGAAAGCAAACTCTCTATCCCCTGAGTCACTACGGCTCAAAATAAAATCTTGACAAAAATAGCTAAAGCAAGATGGCTTATACGAAACAAAGACCTCCATAAGGTTTTAAAATAGAAAGAATTTCTTGACAAAGCTCTAAAGTGTCACCCAGCAAACTTTAATAATGTTTTTCAGTACCAGAACCTTGAAGAAAACGAATGCATTAGACCTATATGTCATGATTAAGACACCAAATTTATTTATTAATAGGGCCGTGATGGCTCAGGGGATAGATCGGTCTCCTTCTAATCAGGGGAACCGGGTGCGAATCCCAACTATGGCTGCTCTATAAGAATTCTGCATTCGGCTTGCACGGACCACAGTGTTAATGTAAAATAACCGCAGTAGTAGATGGATCATGAGTTAAAGTCCCCTTGCCATCAGGCTAACCATGGGATGTTTTCGTGGTTTTCCTCTCCATGTAGTGCAAATGTTGGCTACTTCCATCAAAAAAGTCCTCCATGAAGGCAAATTTCTCCCAATGCTTGATCCAGGAGTTCCCTTGCCTTCTGGATTGGGTTCAAAATTACAAGGCTACGGAAATAAACAATAGTAATCGCAAACCCAAAATTGGGTCGGCTGTTCAACGACGGTTATAAATAAATTAACATGGTCACAATTTTAATAAAAATTAAATAATAATATAATATAATTAAATGGTGCAAATTCAAGAGAAGAAAAAATAAGTTTAATAGATGATTGATTCTATAAAATCTGACTTGCCAGTAGCGATGGTATACCAGTTAGGATAAGAAATGGAAGGGAAAATCGGTGTCACATAAGGCGCTCTCACTCCCGTTTCCGTGATCCTTTTGAAGCCTTTCAATTTCGGATCATCTATAAGATCCCACCTTACACCATCCACTAAAACCACAATCAGTTTCGGACCACCTTTTATTTTTTCGAAAAAAACACAGAAAACTATCGCGAACAATATAGCACTTCTCGTCATGTCTATATCTTCAAAGGGAACTGAAACGAAGAAGAAGAAAAACTATTTAGCTGAGATCGTCTGGACATTCGAATAATTGTGTAAACAGTTTCCGAAAGAGCAATGTCACGGAAAGTTTCGTTTCGTAATCGAACAGGTGGTGCAACAGATGTAAAAACAGTACTGAAATCAGATTTTCCGCGTTACTGCACGCGGAGAGAGAAAAAATTTTGTTCTCTTCCTGCTTTTCTTCTAGATCTGGGAGCGTTTCTGCATTGTCACAGTAGTAAAATTGCTTAGTTTGCAAAGAGCTACTAATAATTTTAAGGCTATTTAAAAAGAATGCTCGTTTGAATTTTGAAATCTAAAATTCTACTTATGCTATTTATATCGACTGCTGTTCACATTTTTAAGACGAAAAAAAAAAGAAATATACCGGAGAAAGAACACAAAATTCAAAGAATTCGAGAATGATAATAAATTACAATGACATTAAAGAAAACTATCATATATATATTCAAAAGGTAGAGAAAACATGGAAAAACAATTACACAACAATGAAAAAAGGGGGAAAACGAAAAATAATAATAAAAATAACAAGAAACTGGAGAAAAAAAATCCGAAGAAAAGGAGAGAAAAAAATGAAGAAAAATCCGGAAAATAAAAGATATTTTATTTTTATTTTCCGGATTTTTTTCCTTCCAGTTTCTTGTTATTTTTATTATTATTTTTCTTTTTCCCCCATTTTTTGTTCTGTAATTTTTTCCATGTTTTCTCTACATTTTGAACTTGTTTTATGAGTTCTGTTTATTTACTTGCAGCTTATGAGCAGTAAATGAAACTTATTGTTTTTCTTAATTTTCTTCCTGTTTTTTCCTTTTTGTATTTATTTATCGTGCTATATATATATACACACACACACATATATATATATACACAGTCCAGTCACATTAATGTGACCACTATCTACTTTCGACCTCAACGGTGACATTCACGTCACCGTTATGGATAGGAAAAAATCCAGTAGAATCCGGGGAATTTTAGGGATATTTATGGTCATCAAAATAGAACAACTAGCAATATTTTCCAGTTATGATTAACATTAAATAAAATTGAAATGTTATGTGCTAAGCTAATTCATAATTTTGAATAGTAATAAGCACTTTATTAGTCAAAAATAGTTGAAGATTTTTTTAAAAATTATTTTGAGAAGGGCTGAATAAAAATAAACTGAACAAACTTTTCAACTGATTTCTATAAAGGAGACCAGCTTTTACTCTCATTGCTCCAGATTACTTGCTTTCATTGATTTTCTGACCATTTAATGTGTTCTTTTGCCTACTTTACTCGTTTCTCGCGTTGCTTTTGATTTAAATGGGGTTTTTTCCTTGGAATTCTAACTTGTAGTCCAAATCCTGATAACCTTCTTCTTATTGTTCTTGAACTTACTGCAATACCCGCTGCATTTATTTCACATCTAATGGCATCTGATGAAATTTTTCTATCTTGAAGGCATAGCCGTTTAATTTTTCTATCGGCAGTAGCATTTTTTTCGGCCTGATTTCGCTTTATTTTCCACTGATTTCGCTCACTGGTTTCTATATTTAAGTAAGCAATAAACTGTGCAAAATAGCTATTTCGATAGAGATTTTTTAGAAAGCTTAGGAAATTTTTTGAAATATACAAGAACCAGGAGAAACAGGCAAATTCCAGTAGTCTACTGGATAAATCCAGTGGAGTTGGAAGCTAAACACTGGGCACTGAGGGGTTGAACTCAGAAAACAGCTCTTCCAAATTTACAGTGCCAACCGGACTGTGTAGTGTTCAACCTTGCACCCGAAAGGTCCTGGGATTGAATCCTGGAGAAAGCATGGATGTTCTTTCAATCTTTGTACTATCTGTCCTTACTGTGGGAGCAACGTTGCCCCCCCCCTAATATGTTGCCCCCTGAATGGGTGGCAAGTAAATCCCCCCTACCGATACCTGAATGGCGAGTGTCAATCAGATGGGCATTTAAAAAAATTTTTTACATCAGTGGAAAACTGTTTATTATCATCAAAGAAGACGACTTGTAAAACTTGATGCTTTTCCAAGTGTCAAAATGCAGGAAATAGTTGTATTAACCAAAATATTTAAAGATAACTGGTAGAAAATAATAATATTCAATTGATTTTAAAAAATTTTTAGTTGTAAGATCTTTCAGATTCAGGGTGGCCACTCAAATCAGATTTCAAATTTCCCTGATTTTTCCAGATAAAAATCTTAAAATTTCCAGGTTTTTGTTTCTTTTTTCTTATAAAGTGTAGGATGTGTACAAGAAAAGTGTCGGTATTATAAAATATTTCATTCAAAATATTATTTTTTTAACATATCATCTTGAAAAAAATAATTTATTTTGACAATTTGGCAAGATTTTTTATTTCATTTTTAATGTTTTGATAAAAAATTTTGAATCAAAAATCATTAATGCAACAATTGTAAAGATTTGTCAACAAACATTGCTGTTAGCGATTGTAAAAAAATGTGATTGGTTGGTTTGCTAGGAAAAAATAATTCATAGATTTCTTTGAATGGGAGTAGAAAAGCTTTCAGAAAAAAGGTGCAATATGAAGTCTATTATTATTAAATTATAACCAACTAATTTTTGGAGAATTTCATAAAGTTAAAAATACAAAAACATTTTGTCAAAATAGAAAAAAAAATTACCGACAAAGCATCAGAACAAACTTGAGCCATAAATGGATTTAGCCCCAAGGACAGAATTTAAAAACAGAAGCTAATTTCCTAATCCCTTTTTTCCACCTCCACCAGAATCTTTCCTAAATTGCACAGTCCCATAACGGTCAAAGGTGTCTACATTCGTTTAGCAACCATGGTAGAATTTTATGCGGCATTCTAGTTTAACAGAGCTGTAATGGAGCAAATTTTGATGCAAGCAAAGTATCGCTAAGTTGATGATATTTCAACTGTTTGGCGATACATTTCCGTTTAAAAAAAGTGGGTAAAATGGATGAAATAATTTAAATTAAGAAAATTAGTAAATAATTTAAATTGGTGAAATTAAAAAAATGATCAAAGAAAAAATTTCCAGCTTTTCTTTAAAATTCCCTGATTTTTCCAGGTTTTTATCCAAATTTCCCTGACATTTCCAGGTTTCTTCCAGTATAAAAAAAATTCCCTGATAATTCCAGGTGGGTGGCCAGCCTGAGATTTTAATCCATTCCTTGCCAAGAAAGCGCAAATACAACATTTCGTGAAGTTAAGAAAACTAAGCTTTATTAAAAAAGGTGGTAAGATATTAATGCTAACTTAAAAAAGGGATGTTTTTTATTGCTAATTACCAGTTTCAGTGAGAAAAAAACAACTCACAAACAAATAATTTCAGATTAATCGAAGCACATTTATCCCTCTATGCCAGTGTTTCCCAAACTTACGACTTTTGTGTACCCCTTGTAAATTTTTCGTAATGCTGTGTGCCACTAATAAAAAAATTAATGTATCTTTTTAAAAATATGTTTATTTTTCTTTTTCGGTACCAAATGTTGTAAATTCTATCCAGCGATCCGTATTCTGTGTTAAAAATAAAAATTATATTTTATAAAAATAATCAAAATAAGTGGAATTTATTACAAACCATTACTATAAAAAAATTGCTCAAAAGTTAAAAATCACAACTGGCTGTTGACACCACTCATTTTTAACTGTTAACCCTGTAAAAAAAAAAGCCAATAGAAAAATACGTAATCGCAAATTTTCATGGCTAGTTTTGTTCTTAAATAAAAAATGTTGAAATTTTCGTTTGTTGCAAGATTTTTTGCATAAGAACGCGTACCCTCACTAAACTGTTCCCGTACCCCTGGGGGTACGAGTACCATGCTTTGGGAAACACTGCTCTATGCCATAGATGAAGTGTTTCCCAAAATGTGTTACGCTTACCCCCAGGGCCATGAAAATTTACGATTACTTATTTTTCTATTGGCTATTTTTTGCAGAGTTAACAATTAATAATTAGTGGTATCAACAGCCAATTGTGATTTCTAACTTTTGTACAGTTATTTTATAGTAAAAAATACATTCATTTATTTATTACGTGCACAGCGTTACGAAAAATTTAGAAAGGGTACACAAAAGTCTTAGGTTTGGGAAACACTGCTCGATGGTATATGGTCTAAGATACTTTTTTGTTAAGTTTGTGTAAATATAAGTCAGGGCTCATACAGCCCTTAAAAGTTTTAAGAAATGGCTATAAAAATAGGATGAATTTTAATATATTCCCATTCACTACCACACTTAAGATTTCAGGGTAAATATATATAGCAGTACAAAATGTGATACTTAGGATTTTTAATTTTAAAGTAAAAGTAAAGAAACAAGATTATATTTTTTCATGAAAATGTTGAATAAATTTTCTAAGGACCGTACGAACCCTGGTATCAAAAGAAAGATAAAAAGAAAGACAACAATCAATAGGAACAATTATAAAATATTTATTCGAAATCACAACGTAAAAAATATATTTTGATATTTACATTAAAAAGCAGGTTTTAATTTACAGTAATCAAAACTGTAACAATTCATGTTTTAATAATTTCAAAACTTTTATTTTCAGAAATCAGTGCTTCATGGTCTGTGGTGTGCAAAAGTGTTAAATGTCCAGGGCAAAGTCCTTGAATACCTCTGAAAAGAGAAGTTTAATCACAAAGGGGTAAAAAAAAGAATGTATTCAACCAAAACACTAAGGGGAAAAAATTGTAGATGAAACTCCATATTATAATTTTTTTCCATGTAAATATAAGTAGAAATTATTCAATTGTATAAAAAAATATCAAAAAAGAAAAAAATCGTTTAAATTTTCCATTCTCAATTATAAGAGATATCAGGGTGCGCGGCCATGTTTCTCAACAAAAAATAAGCACTTTTTAGGCACTCAAAAAATATTTTTAAGTACTATATACATTAATAAAGTGCAAAATTTTTTGTTAATGTGGTTGTGGTACAGATTTTTAAACATACTTTCAATGGTTATTTTTTAATAAATTTTTATATTTAAATGAAGGTAGAAAAGTTTTTAATGCAAGATTTTTACTGTCAGGTCAAAAATCTATGAGTCAAAAACCGATATCTTTTGTGACATTGTATTTTCCTTTTATTTCAAATTTATATAAAATGTGTATCAATATTGTTTATATAATCCATATTTATACAAATCTGTATAAATATGTTCTTTTAAATTTTGAAGCATCAAATTTTAGAAAAAAGTTATATAATATATTTGACAAAAAATAACTTACTTATAAATATAAAAAATTTATTTTTTTTCAATAGGATTATATCACAATTTCATACATCTCAAGTAGAATAAATAAATAAAAATTGCCTACATTTAATAGGTTTTGTTTCATTATATATATTCCAATATTAATTTTAATTATCAAACCATTTCATGTATTTCAGATCAAGAACTCTTATAATATTATTTTCATTTATGTAAAAGGGCAAGCGATTAGTACAATAAATTATCTAGCCCTAAAATTTTTTAGTAAGAAGAAAGAAGTATTGAAAGAAGAAACATGCATTGCAAAAGAAAAATCATAAGAAATCAAAATCATCTTATCGAATCATTTTGATTATGTAGTATATTCTTTATACCTCAAAGTTGAAGGGGTGCTAAAAAAATTTCAAGATAGCGAATTTATATATGCAATGATAGTTGACAATAAGTCTAAATACAACAATGATAATTTTATTTTTATAAGTAAGACAAGAACAGTTATGTATCAAATAGAAAAGAATTGGTTTACAATAAACTTATATTGTGATTTTTCCAAAAAATGTCAATTTCTATTTCGGGAAAGATTCAACATAGCAAGATTTTGAGAATGTGCTCTTCGACATAAAAATTCTAATTAACATTAAGTGGATGTATAATGCCAATGGGAAAATATTTTTTTGACATAACAAGGTATTCAACACATCAAAGTTTGATAGATCGAGATAGATAAATATAAAATAATAACGAGATAGATAAATATAAAAGCAAATAATAACAAATTAATTGTTAATTTTAAAAAATATTTTATTAAAAAAATTATTATTTGCTCTAAACATAAGAAAACAAGATACAAGTTTTGTAGAGGTTTTTACCTCTAAAAAACCAGTGCTTATTTTACAATCAATCCTGTCAAAAACCAATTTTTAATGTCAAAAACCCTGACCCAAACTCATTTATATTATTTTTTTTTTAAGTACAGATTTTAGAAGTACAGATATTTCACAAAAATTTGAAATACATATTAGTTCCTAATATATTAAAGAAGAGTAAATTTGAGAAAAGAGCAGACAATTTGTTGAAATTTAACTAGTAAAACCATTTTTATTTAAAAATAAATTTTTTATGAGTGCTTACCAATAAATTTAGTAACCAGCAGACCAATTTACGACATTTCGTAGTGAATGGCCATCAATATAACTAGTCAAGTTTTGAAAAAATTCTTCAGCAATCTAAAATAAATAAATATATTTCAGATTATAAGTTTTAAAATTCAAGTTAACAGCAATAAAATTATATCTTTTAATTGAATAAACATTCATATTAGGGTTAAAATTTTACACAGCTCAGTGCAAAAAAGAAACTGCATTGACGCATGCTTCTTTTACAATCAGTTGGAAAATATTCAGTTGATATGTATTACACAGAGTGTCCCACTATTTTAATCATTTGTATTATTATATAACTGTGCATTGGAAAGAAAAATGAAAAAAATTTTGTTACAAAAAGGGCTTTAAATCATATCGAAAATTCACTAAATAACACTCCATTACTAAAAAAAAATTGTTTCCCATATTAATTGATGAATGATTAACTGAAGTAAAATTTTAAATTTTTAAAATGATTTCAAAAAATTCAAAAGACATTTTATGTTACACACACTTTAGTTCAAGTATAGTATCAAAAATAAAGAAATCAATTTTTAAAGTCCACTGTCCTTTTAATTTCAAGTTACATAAATATTACTTTAGATTATTTTTAATGCATTATGTTGTGCAAAAATTTTAATTGTGATAATTAACTAATTCATAATCTAATTCCAATTATGGAGGAAAGCAAAGAAATAAGAATATATTTACTCTTGTAAGAGAGATAATAAAGAATATAATTACTCTTGTAATTGTATTAATCTTAATGGAACTGTAATTGAAGAAAATAAAACTCCAACTTTAAAGGTGAATGTATCTGATAAATTAAATACAAAAACATATACTAAATGAAAGAAGTTTGTTGTCGCTCTGCTGTTTCTCAATTTATATTTTAAGAGAAAATAAATATTAATAAAAAACTTTCATGTTTATAAATGAAAAAAAAACTATAAAAATAAAATATATATATATATATATATATATATATAGGCTTTTCAAAAGTCTGTTTTAATAACAATTTAATGTTAATTACAGGGTGTTAGCTAGTTGAAGGACCTATAAGTCCTTCAAAAGCAAAATTTTACAAATTAACATTTTTACCACCAAAATATAAAACTATATATGAGACTGAGCAATAAATTATTTTTTGTGTCTCATAACCAATTTCCCCTAATAATGATTCTGATAGATTACGAGTAAAACATTTATTAAACAAATATAAATTTAAATTCACTTCTTTACTAGCGTGGGAGTGCTTTTCGGTACTTTGTGACCTTTTTACTCATAACAAGGTATACCTATATTGGGTAACGGGACATATGGGTATTCTTGGAAATAAGCTAGCTGATGAAACAGCACGAGCTGGCTCTAGTGTGAACCAGCCTTTGGAATTTCTCCCACATTATTCTGGGCATCTATATTCAAGGTCTATGGCAAAATTGCCCATGAGCAATGGCGCAACACAGAGACAAGCTAAGGAGCTGAATTGTGACTGTTCCAGTGTACATCAAAACGAGCATCTTAAGCTAAACAAGAACAGCTTAAGGAAGATCATTGGTCTTCTCACTGGACACTGCATCCTCAGGAGACACTGATACATTATGGGTATTGAATCCAACTCTCTTTTTTGAGGTTGTCGTCTTGAAGAGGAGACTTCACGACATATACTTTGTGATAGTGAGGTCTATTCTGCTCAAAGATTTGAGCATTTAGGGCAACATTGCATAAAGACCTGAGAATTGCATGATATTCCTGTCAGGTGTTTGCTGAACTTCGTTTTAGCTTTAAAGCTTTTTTGCTAATCACAATGTAGGGTTTGGGTACAATAGACCTCTGGTCAATGTGCCCCACTCTTTAGAGCTGCCCAACCTCTAAATTTATCTATCTAACATATATAAAATTAGTTTAAACCAAAAGCATATGATTTAAATTTTATAAATTGATTTATTTTTGGATAAAAAAAAAAAATTTTGTTTCAAGTATTGAGATGTTGGGAAATATTGTATTTTAAAGGGCACACTACCTAGTTAATAGAAATTACTTGTATACAAAGAAATTAGCACTTAAACTAAAAAATCAACTGAAGAAAGGAGAAAAATATGGTTAAAAAAATTGCTAATAGATTTAATTCCAAGAAATCAGTAGAAAATGATAGCAAGAATAATTGTAATAAAAATCGATAATTTCTGAATCAAAAATTTTGAAAAATATCTGAATTATACTTACATGTTCTGGCTTTGACAATGCTGATACATGAGGAGTTATAACTACCTGAGCAAGAAAAAAATTATAAATAATCTTGAAAAAAGTCATGCGTTATCATTTAACATCTTAATGAAAAATATTTTATTTCTCTTAAGTAATAACAGACAGTAAAAATGTTCTTTATTTTCCTTGGAAAAAAAGAAAAAAAAATGCCTTCTTCATTAACTAAAAAAAAATGCATTTCAATCACTTTCTTTTCATATTCATAGAAAAAGAAAAATTATTTATTTAAAGAGGAAAAAAAGCAGAAAAGCACATTAGCTGAATTAATAGAAATAAAAATTTATTTTTAATTTTAACAAATGTTTATTATTTTACTGTGCAATGATAAAAAAAAATATTAGTATTTTAAATATTTCTTTAATCTTTTGAACATTCCTTTAGATTATAAAATAAATCTATATAATAATAATATTGAATAAAATGTGAAGCCTAATTATTTTTAAACACTTTTTAAAATTTGAATTTAAAAGGACACTTTTTCCTTTAAGTTGCTTAAAATAGTTAGATGATAGTCACTGTTGCTTAGCAAAATTTACTCAGAGTAACAGCTTTTGCAGTTTTAAATAATGACTCACATAGTCATTCTCAAAATTAAATCAATTCTTCACAATCTTAATTTTTCTTAAGATGTTACACATTAAGCTACACCATTTAAAATGGGAATAATAAAGAAAAGGTTTAGTTGCAGACTTACATGCCATAATGTTTATTGTTGCCAAAAAAAGGGGGAAGAATTCAAATAATTTGTACATAATTATTAAGCAGATGGACCTAATCCATTAGGGTCATCTTTTGGACGTATCAGAGTGGGAAGGTCAAGGTATGTACAGTGAAGTTTTTCAACCTAAACAAAAGAACTAATTAAAAAGCACTTTCTTAGATTTTCTAACAATTTTGGCAACATGCACATGTGATTTCTATTGTCAACAGCAAAGAATAAGATAAATCGTTGAAGAAATGGAATCACAGCAACAGATAGTAAAGATATTTGACTTTTGAATAAAATTCTGCAAATTGACTTAGAAATCTTTGACTGTAATGATATATTTTCAATTTTTTTTAAATCTATAAATACCTCTTTCATTCCATGTGTAAAAAAATATCTCTCTGTGCTGCATCACTTAAAATAATTAAAAAAATACTTTTAGTAAATGCTAAGGTTATTATTTTAATAAAAAGTAATTAAATACATACAAGCTAACATTAAGATTAAACAACGAAAAATAAAACAAAGCAAAAAGTAAAATCAAGTTTATATTAAGTTTACTTCTGGAATATCCCACAGTTCGCTGGTTTCAGGTAAAGGTTCTTCTTCAAAAACATCCAGTACTGCTCCTGCTAACCAACCATTTCTAAACAAAATTACTCTATTTTAATTGTTTTTGAAAACATAAGATTAACTATTCTCATAAACTTTTAAGATCCTTCCCATACCTTAAAGCTTTTAGTAATTCAGCTTCAGATATAATACTCCCCCGGCCAATATTTATGAAAATTGGTTTCTAAGTAAAAAAAACATGTAAGAAGCATATTAATAGAAGTTATCACAAATTTTTTTTTGATAGATTAAATTTCAAATATAGTATAAGAGCTATTTTAGCAAATAATAGGAGAAATAGCAAGAATTTTAATAACTTAAAATAAAAAAATGAAAACAAGGGTTTTAACTCATTAACAAAAAACACACCTAAATCATAACTATTGGTTAACTAAGCAATTCAATTCTCTGACATAGTTGCTAACCTACAAGTTTTGGCTCCTTATAATATTTAAAGTAGAAGATTAGAAAAAACAAGTCCTTTAATTTTGCCAGCGCTTATAAATATCACTTGATACTTTGTACATATGTTTGAATTATTTAAAAGTGGATCAATATTATCATAAATCAAATTTATTAAACCAAGAATAAAATATTATTCATGGATGGGCCTTGCTTCAGATTTTCTTAAAGCATCTGTATTTTTAGCAAACTACATCTCAATGTTAACTATTTAGGACTGAGGATTCCAAGCCTCTAAACAGTATGACTCACTTTTCAGAAACTGAATCTACAGTGGCTTACTTTAATGCATTGAATTTTATAGTTTTCTTTAATATACAAGCATTTTTTAAAAGAGGTTTTCACAAATTATCAAAAAATTTGCAAAATTTTATAATGAATGCATTTATTATGAATCATGCATTTCATGTTGAACAATCAAAAATAAGTTATTATTAATCAATAATAAAAATCCTAGTTACAATTTATAACAATATATACAATTACTTTAACAAATATTTCATTTATTATTCCTTAATTAAATCATTAAAACAACGTTTTTAACTCATTAGCAATTTTCATACGTAACATAAAAACCAAAATAAACAAATTGACTAATTAACTTGTCACTTAGTATAATATTTGGTGATCCCACTTTTGCAAGTCCAAGAAATTTAAGTTCTCCTTGAATTGAGTGAGAGATCTTTAAGAGAGATCATGAGAAAATAAGGGATTTTTGGTTTTGTATTCAGAATGGACTCTCTACAATTTGAAGAATTGCCAATTACATATTTTTCTTAAATTTCTACACAGTCTGTTTCAATTCCTGCTATCATGCTTCATTTTTCTCTTAGGTGTATATCACATAGGTGTTGAAAGTATTGTGTTACCTTCAATTAAAAATGCTTCATATATTATTATTATTACCCTTCAATTTGAGTAATAAGATACTTTTCAGCCATTTTGTTGCACAGAGACAACAATCTGCTCTCTTTTAAACTTACAAATAGCTTTCGTTGATGACATCACAAAACAAAATAATCAGTTTTAGAAAGCTCAAACTATCTAAAATTTTACGAATACAGTCGTTCAATTTGGCATTAACTTACTAAAAATATTAGTGAACGTTTTTCACAGTTACAATTCAAGGAAAATAAAGAATTAAAAACTGTTAGGTGGCAAATCATTTGGTCACAGTGCTTTTGTGAACAAAATAGCTAAGTATTAAAATAATAAAATTACAAATTCGAAATAAAGATATTGGTTTAACAATAAACATGATTAATTTATTATACTCTTGTTAAATTTAGTAATTTATGTTTCTTTTTTTAGAAGGGTTGGCATGATTTAAATCATTTGATTTTCAAAAATACCATTGATTTATATCAATTGTGAGTTTTTTTTCTTATTTTAATGATCATTATTTTAAACCTATTGAGTTTTAAAAATAATATTAATTTTAAGTCGATAATAATTTTTATGCAACGTAATTAATAAATGTTTTTTTCCAAGTGTGATTTAATAAAAAAAAAAGTCTGATTTCATTGTTAATGAAGGTTTTAAGCAAAGCATTAATAAAAGGAAGATATATAGAAATTATAATATTTTAAAATCAAGTAAAAAAAAAAAAAAAGAAGAAGACTAAAGAGGGTAAGAGTGGCATGAAACTTTTAAAATATAATATAGGAAAACAGATATAGGAGACAGATGGAAGATGCAGATGTAGGAAGCCCCATATTATTTGCCTATATTCCCTTTAATTATTTGCCCCATATTTGCCTATAATTTTCAAACTGGGTCAGATACATTACCATACCAAAGGAGTTAATTATACAGGGTGCATAGCCAAATCTTTCAACAAAAAATAAGCACCTTTTAAATACGTTTTAAACACTCAAAAAATATTTTTAAGCACTTTATACATTACAAAATACAAAATAATTTTTAAAGACTTGGCATGATCATTAGAAAACAACTAGTTTCTGAAAAAGAACTCATTTCTTGATTATATTAGCCACCCTAAAAAGATCGAGAGATTTTTGGTTTGACTTCAGAGGGTGGAAAATGAAGCCTGAAAATTGAGAATATTTAGCAAAATGCAGTAGAGTTGCACATGAGAGTGCTAGAATCTCACCGAATCCAGCTCAGTAGACGCACATGCAGACTCCCCAGCATTTCATTAAACATGTAAAATGATTGGCGCTTTCATACGCTGTGGACCGACTGTTCGCCGAAATAGATTGTGGTACAAGGAATTGTGAAAATGTTGAATAGAACAATGTGAAAAGCATGATTTTGCGTAATACTTGGCAAAAATTGACATGGTAAAGAAAAAAATCTCATTTTTGAAAAAGGATTAAGCACTTTTTAAAAGCCCCTAATGAAAAAAACACCTTTAAGGGCTTTTAAAAAACGAAAATCGAAAATAAGCACCTTTACACTCCGTAAAAACGCTACGCACCATGTTATAGAAAAATTAAGATGATGTAAAATTATTAGTTGATAATGAAAACATTTCAATCATACCCATTTAATTTTAAGAATATTTTAAATACAAGGGATAAAACACATAATGTAATAAACACGTAGTTAGTGCATGACAATAATGAAGAAAGACTAATAATTTAAGATACAGAGTAATTTAAAATAATTATTTCTTTTTTCAGTAATATTTTTTGAGCCAATTTACTCTTTTATTGAATATCTAATTAAAAAACGACCTCCTTTCTTTTAATCTGTTTGCATTAGAATGTTGACCTTAGACATTACAATTATCTTACTTATTCAATAATTAGTTTGTAATAATTAATAATATTTTTATCCATCTTAGTTGGAAATATAACCTATTTTCGCTATTAAGTTGCTTTTAAATAATGTTAAGCATATTATAACATTTTACATAATACTTTTTAAATGTAAAATTAATTTTAAAAAAATTGATTTAATAAAAAAAATTGATTGCAATCAAATAAATCCATTTTTTTAAAATCATGATTTTTTACCAACCCTATTCTTTAGATAAGTTGCATGAATGCAAAACTCATCGTGTTTTTTTTTGTATCATTATTATTTTTCAAGTTAGAATGATATGAAATACAGCTTTAACATGCATTTATTATTATAACGTTAAATCAATTAAAAAACAGAATTACTCTTATATCTAAATTGAGATATTCGGAACACCATGAAATTGGGGGGAGGTAAATTCCATTTTAAAAATTAGATTTTCAGACGACCTAAATCCATGACTTTCTATGATTTTTTTTAAAAAATATAGTTAAAATCATGACATTTCATGACATATTTTGTTCAGTATCAAAATTCATGACATTCCATGGTTTTTCATGACTTTCCAGGTGCACAGTTACCCTGTAAATAACAGAATCACTCTTATATCTATTTTTCAAATTGCTTGCCTCATACGTGTTTTGAGATAACATAATTGCAGCAATCAAATATTGGAGAAAAATAAATTTGTAATAAATATCTGAAGTAATGTATTTAAATTCATAATTTACTTTTGTACATTTTTCTAATGCACTATTATTTAGCAGTCCAGAGGTGAGGGGAGTGGTGGGGAGAACATTGATTAAATAATCACACTTTGGAAGGACATCATCTAACTTAGTATAAATCCTGAAATAAAAATATTTAAATTTTAATAAAAATTTTGATATAAATTTCAAACATTTCAAAAAATTCATATGTTTTAATAAACTAAGAAAAAACATTTGTATCCTTAATTAAATGTAATTTAATCAACTTCCAGTTACATTATTTAAGACTGGATTTACAAACTAAATCCAAAGTAGTTTTATTTTAATCCATTGTAATCTTATAATTTTGAATGAAATTAAGTCTCTTTTATTGTTAAAGAAAATTAGCATAAGGTATAAACTTTATATGGATAAAATTGTTGTTGAAGGCTATTAAAGCAAGGGTTGCAATTGTTCTTGCTTTCCAGTGGCGTCATCTATAGCCAAGAATTCAACTTCTATCACACCCATACGTCACACCCGTTTATAGGGCGGACCCAATCATACATCCATTCATTCATCCACAAATCTTAATTTTGATCTGTACCAAGAAACGATAAATATCCAATTCAGTTCTCTCAGAGGTATAATTTGTTATGGGTACATGGAGGACTCTGTGACCCGACGAATGTAACGTGCACCAGTCACCATTGCATGTGGGGAATCTTCAGCTGGCTGGATTCAAACGGGAACCAAGCGCCCTGACAACCAGGCTAACCCCTCTACAGAAAAATTAGTTATTATTTTTCTTTTTAATTTCCATTATTAAAATCTTTAGGTTTCATACATGTTGGAGAGGTGTCTTGGGATTGAAGAATAACACAATTATTGTTAAATTTGTGTAATAAGGTGTGATAACAAGGTTGTTACACAGACAGGTGGTTAAAACAAGACTCATCTGTGTTATATCTAACACGTATCGCATCATGGAATAAGTGGCTGCCAACATAGATAGGAAAAAATTCAGTTAGATTTCACAAAATATAAATTTTATTATAATTGTTGCATAATGTACTAAATGTTTTACACATTGAGAATTTTTCAGTCATAATTGATTGACATTAAATATGCTGAAATGTTGCGTATCATGTTCGCTCATAATTTTGAATAGTAATAGGCAGTTAATTCATAAAAAATAATTAAGATTTTTTAAATAATTTAAAAAAGGAGCTCTGAATAAAAATAAAGTGGGCATTTTAGAACAAAAAAAAAGAAATTAAATTAAATTGATTAAAAAGAATTAAATTGATTCTATAAAATATCTCGCTTCATTATGTATTAGCGATACTTATTTAAATATTCAAGCAAGTAATAATCTGTGCAAAAATTCTACTTTAATAGGGATTTTTTTAGAAAACTTATTACATTTTAGGGGATTTTCTAAAATGTAAAAAAAACAGGAGAATTTTTATTAAAGCAGGAGAAACTAGCAAAATCCAGTAGTCTACTGGAAACCCAGTAGAGTTGGCAGTTACGGTGGCGCTATCACTAAGATATGGCGCTTCTGTGTTTCAGCTCTAGACCGTGTATGCAACATACACTATAATAAAATATTAGGCTCTATTATGAGAAGCATGCGGCAAATGCACAAGGGTAGATCACTTTCTGCGAGCAAGTAGTGGGTCCTCTTTTCCTGTCTCTTTGTGTTGCAGCTCCTACTTCACCTATATTTGGACATCATCTTTGGCATATGATCTCTCACACTCTCTAACTGCAAATTTTCAAAGCAAATGTGCTACCTCTATTCAACCAATTAAACAATAGCACACAGCTGAAGTGGGAGTTACTGTTCTCCTTATTATAAGATAAAGATCAAAATACAATATACTCTCGATGTCTCAAAAACCTTGTCATGTTATCAAAATACAGTACACTCTCGATGTCTCGAAAACCTTGTCATGTTATCAAAATACAGTACACTCTTGATGTCTCGAAAACCTTGTCATGTTATCAAAATACAATACACTCTCGATGTCTCGAAAACCTTGTCATGTTATCCAAATATAGTACACTCTCGATGTCTCGAAAACCTTGTCATGTTATCAAAATACAGTACGCTCTCGATATCTCGAAACCCTTGTTATGTTATCAAAAAACAGTGTACTCTAGATGTCTTAAACTTCTATGCCTCAAAAACTTCGTTATGTCAAAAAAACATTTCCTTCCTTGGCATTATATATCCAACTAATGTTAATTTGAATTCCTATGCCGAAGAGTTACTTACCAAAAACCTTTTTATGTTGATTTTTTATGGAAATAAAATATTAATTTTTTTTGGCAAAATCACAATGTAAGTTTGCTATAAACCAATTCTTTCCTATATAATGCATAATTTTTTTTGCCTTACTTTTTAAAATAAAATTATCCTTGTTGTATTTAGATTTATAGTCGACTATCATTACATACATATTTAATAGTAGTTATTATTATGTTTCATGACTCAACTTTTTAGAAAATATTTTTCTACTTTTTAGAACATGCTCTGAACTTGTTATCTCGAAAACTCGCTATCTTGATATTTTTCTACCTTCCCTTCAACTTTGAGATATCGAGAATATACTTAATTACAATGAATTAACAGGTGTGCTTTATAAGATCATGGAGGAGGTAGTAGAAGTAATTTACCCAAGTAACTGTAATAATGATATCAGGTAATCATTTAAGTGATTAAAAAAGAATTTGATAACTAACAAGAACTCTCTGAAAAAGTAAATAAAACTTACTCATCAAAGTAACACTGAGAGCCAGGAGCTCGAGGTCTTCGAGCAAAACCATAAACAGTTGTACCCCTCGACTTCAAAAAACTTGCAACTAAGAAAAATTATCCAGTTTCAAATTTTATAGAAATAAGAAAGGCATAATTGTGAAAAACAAAGCTACATTTTCATAGATGGAATAATACAGTATACTCTCTATATCAGGGTTGCCACAGAAAAATTGAACAAAATAGTTGCTTTTAGTAGCCTAAAACGTGAAAATAGTAGCCAAAAACTAGGAAAATAGTTGCCTAAATAAGAACAAAAATTCATCAAAAATATGACTAAAATTTTGTTAATGGCTTAATTGTCATATGCCATGATCCATTCAGTCAAGTTGGTGGCAAATATGATCCTTTTTATATAAACGTAAATGTTTATATATATATATGAAAAGTGATTACTCAAATTCGAAATTCCAGCATCATGATATGGTAGAATTTTTTTCTTTTAAATCGTGTGGAATTTCGTAGAAATAATCAATAAAAAGGCGATCGAGAAATGAAATAGACTTAGAATGGAGTCTGTGCAGATTGAACGATTTAAAAAGTGAAGACTCAAATTTACTAAATTTTTTAAGAAAAAAAAAATCAGTGCGTTCAGAAACCATCTTGTGGGGTGTAGATTTTCCACCCAATTTATGCTTTAAAAAAAAAACATTGCTAGGAGTACAGAAAAGTCTCCCAATAGTCCCTGAAAATAGTTGTTTTTTATCCTTTTCAGGCAAAAAAAGTTGCCATAGTAGCCTCATGCCAAAAATAATTGCAAATAGTTGCATTTTAGTCGCCTGTGGCAACCCTGCTATATCTATATCCTAAAAACCTTGCAATGTCAAAAAAAAAATATCCCCTTGCCATTATATATCCACCTAATGTTAATTTGAATTCTTATTTCAAAGAGTTCCAAAAATTTGTTACGTCGAATTTTTTTTTTAAAATAGAAAAAGAATTTTTCTGGAAAGATCACAAAATAGGTTAATCGCAAACCAATTACTTTCTACTTAATGCACAATTATTTTTGTCTTATTTTTAAAAATAAAATTATCATTGTTGTATTTAGACTTATAGTCAACTATCATTGCATACATATTTATTAGTAGTTATTCTTATCTTGCATGATTCTACTTTTTAGAGTAATATTTTAGAATATATTTTTCTACCTTTTAGAGCATATTTCATTCTGAACTCGAAATCTCGAAAACTTGTTCGAGATATTTGATCACAAAACCAATTCTTTTCCATTTAATGCACAATTATTTTTTTCTTACTTTTAAAAATAAAATTATCATTGTAGTATTTAGACTTATAGTCAACTATCATTGCATACATATTTATTAGTAGTTATTCTTATCTTGCATGACTCTACTTTTTAGAGTAATATTTTAGAATATATTTTTTTACTTATCAGAACATATTCAATTCTAAACGTACTAACTCGAAACTCTTTTAGCAACCCTTCAACATTAAGGTATTGTGGGAAGAGTTGTTATCAATAATGTCAACCTTCATCTATGATATACTAGGAAATTGAAACTGTATTTTTGAAGTGGTAGATTACACTACAGTATCAAGAATAAACTATACATCATATTTTTTCAAAAATTTTAAAATGAATCCTTTTTCCACTCCATTTCTCTTCCAACCGAGAAAGAAATTTTCAATCAAGGAAGGAAATTTATCGAAATAATTTTCAAGATGTAACATAAATAAATAATATTATTCAAGTAAATTCAAAGTTTCTTTAAATATGAAATGTGAATCATATTTTAATAAAAAAAAAAACAGAATTTGATGATAAGTGTACCAACCTAGAACTTAACAATAGAATCAACTGTGCTGTTACATTCCGAGGTTGCGAGAAACACCTATTGCTATAGATTTTCTGCAATTTTTAAATAAATCTGTAGAACTTATTGCTCAAGAACTCTAGTGCCTAACATATAAGTTTCTTCATTGAATTTAGCATCATAGCTATTGTATTTAACAAAGTTTAATTTTGGCAGCTCAAGTTTCAATGATTATTAAAGCTGGCGCTTAGCACATGACATTTCAAAAATAAAATACTCATAAACTGCATTTCAAAATTATAATATTAATGAATAAATAAATAATTTAATTATTAAGCAAAAAATAATTTATCTGATTCTTGATACTTTTTATAGTTGCAAAAAAGGGTAAAAAATTAGCAGTTAAGACTGTATACTATGCTGGTAGGGAAAAAATATTTTTATTTATCTTTAAACTGATTTGCTCATTCTTAGATCAGCCTAATTACTAATTAACCAGCTCACTCAAACTTTGATACATTTCCTGCCTTGCTATGACTTAGACTCCCTAATTTGTCAGTCTGCTCACTCTTTGATTTGCTTTCTGTATTTTCTTCCTGTATTTAATTACTTTATTAAAAATTATTAATCATAGAAACAGTTGTAGTTAAAATTTGTGAGGTTACTTTATGCCTCAAAGATTTTTTTTCTTTTGCAAACTTTTTATGGCATGCAACAATACAGGAATAGAACATGCAAATATTTTACAATAACTTACTGCCAGATCCCATATTTCCAACACCTAAAATTCCAACACTCAGCTCATTTAGTGATCGATGATTAGAAAAAACATTATTTGGCAACCTTTAAAGAAATAAATTTTTAAGAATATATTTTTGTTTATTAAGATTACTAATGATCAACAGATAACTTTTAAATATAAGACATTTTCAAAAATGGATAAGTCATAAAATAAATATGTTCAGTTTTTCAGACATGTGATTGCTGATAAAAATAAATATCAGAATTTTTTTTCTCAATGCGTAATTTTTTTTTTCAAAAAATATTTCATTTTCAGTCTTTTTGTACATGAAAGATTCAGTTTTATGCACCAAATTAAAATTTATAAAATTTAAAAAGAGAAAAAATGTCTTAATCAAATAAACTTTTTTCTCATGAACACATAAAAGAATGTATACATTGAAATATATATACTGAATTCCACCTTTCTCACACTTGTTGCCATTGTATCAAAAATTTAAAAAAAAAAAACATGAAATACACGGCAATAACTGAACAAAGATTTGTGATATAACCCAGCGTTTTCACCACAGAGTGAGGATGCGAGAATCTCACATATTTTTTTCCTTTTCTCAGATGTGGGATTTGAATTTCCAGCACCACATTAATATCGAAGTTTTAAAAAATCATGTGGCAACAGCAGAAGATTAAAACCTCGCATTCACTTAGTGCAAATCGAGCGCATCAAAAAGTAATTACTCGAATATGCAAGCTAAATTTTGCATATCGTGATAATATTGGAATTTCAAAAACTAAACAATTGCATTCAATGCAAAAAAAAAAGAAAAAGAAAATGTGGATTTATGACGATATTCAGTGCGCTGAAAAGTGATAATTGAAATGCACAATTTGAAATTTTAATGTTGTAATACCACATTAAAAATTCATTCGATCTAATTGCAGCTAAATAAAAAAGGGAACAAATCTATCATATCTTTTAAATATTTGAATTGTTATCAATTTTATACTTTTGTGTTTGCTTCAGTAGCTCCTTAATTTTAGCCAAAGTTATTATGGAATCTTGTGTTCTCAAAGTTGCGTTTTTCTCTAACAAATCTGGGTAAAAAAAATAATCTTTATTGTAGTGAATGAGAATTTAGAGAGTGCTGGTAAGGGCGGAATAAATGTTTTGTCAACGAGATTTTGCATAAGTAACGAAATTTATACTTTAGATTAGTAGAATTCCGAAAAAATTTTGTCGGAATATAAATAATTGATTCAGTCCACGAATCAAAGGTCTTGAGAATCTCAGATATTCATGAATTAGCAGAAGAATCACATACCTTATCATGTTTAATTTTTCTTAAATAATTTCTTTCAATTTTTCATAATAGATTCAAATTGTTCAATAAAATTATTTTCACACCAACTCTTATTTAATGACACTGCACACGTCCCTACATGAGCATTTATCTGTCAATGGTTGATGCCTAAAATTTACAACTTACCTTTTTTTTTTATTGAGAGTCTAATTTTAGATTGGTTTCATTTGGTTTGTTAGATTTTTTTTTATTGCAAAAAAAAAAAAAAAAAAAATTTGAAGATTNCAATTGTCTTCACCAGTGTAAAATACTAACCAAACTTTGGATTCTTGACTTTTCCAACATAATCTTGATTTTCTTTCAGAATTTAAAATGTGGCAAACAACATACTCGGCTATTAGAGAGGTAAAGGAATCCCCGCTGTGTCTTGTCACAGTAAATGGTGGCTAAATAAGAAGAAAATTAAGTGAGTTTTATAAGCACAAAATAGGCATAGACAAGCTTTTTAAAATAAGAGTAGATATGTCTATATGAAATAATAAAAATCATTATACAAAAAACTATTATTGATATTGAAAATACACAGGGGAAAAAAAGAATATACATTAGTGTCCATAAATTGTGAAAATGTCATCTAGTTAAGATACAAAATATTATTAATTGAGCAACCACTATTTCAGCTCAAGGTTTTTATTTTATTTGGATACAGATAAGCATTAAAAAAAATCTCAAATGGATAGCTTGATTGAGCAAAATTGTATACAAATCCAATGGCATACCTACCAACATTGGAGAAATAAAATAATGGAGATTTTACTAGGGACATTTTTTTGGGCTCCGAGTTAAGTTTTGATGCATCATGCATAATTATGTTAAGTCAAAATTGATAATAATATACAGTAATTATATTTAGCGAAGTAAAAAATATGTATATAAATCTTAATCTACAGATTTTTTAAACCATTGTTTATAATTACTTAAACTATAAACATTCAACACGCTGCAGTACTGACAATAGCACCATCTATTGAGGAATAAGAGAAATATTCTTGCCATTAGGGGATATTTTATCACCAAATTAATTTTAACAAATACGAAGAAATTTGAGAATTACAGGTGAACTGGAAATAGGGGTAAAATACAGAGTCTTCGTTAAAAAACAGGAGACTTGGCAGGTATAGATTGGGAAGAACAAATAACACCTTTCCTCTATCAATTAAATATTGAAAAAATTCAGTTATTGATTAAAAAGAGTAATGAAACTTTATCCTAAAATAGAATGAGATCACTAATTATTCAATCTCAAAAATTCAATTCAGATCTTAAAAACAAAAGAATCTTAATTATTTTTTAGCTGGTTATTAAATTTTAAAAAAAAGAATTAGTTATAAAGATGTGAATATTTTCTTCCTTTTTTACAATAATTTTTTTTTCTTTGCCACTAATAAATAAGAATCTGGAAGTACAGAAAAATAAAAACAAAAAACCTGCCACATACAAATCCTGACACGCTGTTAAAAAAAAACTTTTATTTTTAATTAAAAAATAAAATATTTGAAAGTGTTCAAACCTCTTGAGGAATCGCTTTCAAAAGACCTTCGATGCCTATAAAAAATTAAATAAATAAAACATTACTGTAAGCAGAACTAAACTAACAGAAACTAAACAGAACAACAACAGAAACTAAAATTAATATAAAAAATTATGCTTTTATTTACCAGCCCAAGTACTGTGAGCCCATTTTAATTGCGGCATGAAATTGTGCAATTTCACAAGAATATCAGAATCACAAACAGCAATTTCCACATCTTTAAGAATATCCTTACATTTTTCAGTCAGTGATGAATCAATCCCAAAGTTATCTAAAACTAGAAAAAAAATTTCAACTGTATATGCTCAAAATATTTCCAATTTGCTCTGAGTTACCATGTAACAAATAAACAAATTAAAGAGACTTTCATCAGAAAACTAGAACAATTTTTATACTAGTTTTGAAATAAAAAATAGATAATGAAAGCTCTCTACAACAATTTAATTTTTGAATCCTAATTTTTTATGATAGTAAAAACAATTTGTTTTGTAAAACATGCCCACTATGGCTGTTATCACTTTTTCTTTGACACCGAAATTTTGTGAAAGAAAAAAATTTAAATAAACTTTGTATTTGATCAGAAACTAATTCTAAATTTTAACAAAATGAGACTCAGTGCATATCCTCAGATACATTAGTACATAGCAGCTAAACTTTCTAATTCTTCATGAAATAAATAACTCATAGAATAAATAACATTTCTAAAAACAACTACGATTTTAACCTTAACATAAAAAAAAATCATTTTAAAACTAATGGTGGCATCGACAACATTTTAATATCATAATGTTCTTTAAACAGTTCTCTAAAACTCTTCAAAATTTTATATTTTTTTCTTTTAATAGTTTTTTTCATTATGAGACTAAAATCTGAAAAGCTAGCCGAGACAGCAATGATAAATGGAAGATTTTTTAACAAAGAGAGAAGCAAGATATATACTATATATATTTTATTTTGTACTTAAGGATTATCCTGTTGACCTGTGCTTTGGGATTATCCCATCGAACAGTCAATACTAATGAAAATGTGCAAATTCTTGGCGCCATCATAATGAAAAGCAATTTCCAAAATAAACATTCTAAACACAAAAATTTAAGTGTAAAAATATGTAATAAAAAGTGTAATATAAAGAATCAAAACAAAGTAAAAACTTCTATTTTTTTCAAATAATTACACATTGAATTATTCTTCAATCTAACTATATACATTTCAAATATTATTATAAATAGGGCCCTATAAATTATGCGTCCAGAATGCGGCGATTTTTAAAAATTATGCGGCAAGGATGTGGTGTCTTTTAAAAATTATGCATGCAGAAGTTATTCCAGAAGCTGCGTTTTCCTTCAAACTCTGTCTTTGTTTTGTAAAAATTTGGTCGTAGTAGGATACAGCTCTTTCACAATCTACTGAATTAGGAAGCACTGAGAGCACTTGTCTTGCTTTTTTTGTAAGTTCTGGAAATCTCTCTGAGACTACCTCTGAATTCCAGAATCTAAGTCCTGGTTTGAACATTCTTTTACATATTCTTTGTAAGCAGCATACTCGAGTTTTATATCTCGACCACTCATTCCTGGAATATTCTTGAATACATCGTCGTCTTCAATATTGAGGTTGACTATTTGTTCTGGATCGAAAACTCGATCAGCTTTCATGAAGTTTAATGCAGGTTGACTAAACTTGGGCCCGCGTTTTTTGAATACGTCTAGTTCTGGAGAGTAGTAAGTATTCAACTTTGCAATTGTTTTGTGAAACACTTCTTGAAGAAATACGTTGCGTGAATCTTTTCGTGAGTATGATGCCTGAGAATTACATCGAAGTTTAGACCGCAGATCAAAAATCTTATTGTAAGCTTTGTGAATAGATACACCACATGTTTCGAAAAAGAGAAGAGTATCCATTAATATCTGAGCGTGTTCTGCAATGAACTGAAAGTCTTTGCAAACGTACTTGCTTTCCACCAAAACTTTGCACTGATTGAGACAAGCAGTGTCAGGAGTAAGGTTTATTTCACTGCTAAAAAATTCTATGTAAACATTACAATATTCAGCATGATATTGCACTGATTTAAACCAGGAATTCCACCGTGTCTTTATTAGTGCTGGACAAAGTTTAGCTTTCTTATTGTCATCTGTTAAAATCTTTAAATAGCGGCGCTTTCTTGCAGGACAATGCTTGAACAATTTCTTAAAGTTTCCTGTGAATTTGTCCATCTCTGTCAGATTCTTGGAAAGATCTGACCACCTGACCAAAAAGATTCTTGGAATTGAAAAAGAAGATATATTTCAATTGAAAAAAAAACCCTTAAGGAGAAATTTATCTGGTATACGAATACATTTTGCTGCGATTACGCGGAAAATTGTAAATTATGCGGATAATTGTGAATTATGCGGGTTTCCGCATCTTCCGCATAATTTATAGGGCCCTAATTATAAATCATTTTCGCAGCCAAAAATCCTTGATAGCTTTTAAAGCGCAAACAAACAAGTCATTATCCTTGTGCAGTCATAGACACATAAATTCGTTTAAATACGCTAAAGAAAACTAATTTGCATAGTCAAGGATTACATAATAAATATAATCAAATTTGCAGTTATTGGCGCAGAAGCTACTTTTTGGCAATAATATTGAGTTTGGTGGAAATGATTCACGGAATAATCCCAAAATACAAAAATGGTCAATGGGATAATCCCTAAATACCTTTTATTTAAATAAATAATTGAATATATATAAATATAGTTACTTGGAAGATCTATTTCTTTCACTTCAATTTGAGGCATTGCACAAGCTCTTAAACATTGAGCCAATTTAGATATTTTTGAAAGTACGAAAATTGGAGGCAAACTGAAAATTCCTGGTGATGAAAAGCATGCAGCCATTTTTCAGAATTTTTTAATTCAATTTCTGCAAAGCAAAAAAAGAGAAAAATATATAAATTTTAGTAGAAAATTTCTTATTATGACAATTAGATACCAGAAATTAAACAATCTTACATTGCAACTAATTATAATAATTTGAGCAATAAGATATTTTGAAATTTCCATAACCATGCTTTTAGAGACTCTTTATTATGCTTCTTCTAAAAAATTGCCGTCAATCGATCTCAAAAAGAAAAAATTGCCTTTATTTTGTGACACTGTGTTTACATAAGAAAGGTGATGTTTCCTTTGACTTTCTTTTAAACAAAAATTAGCGCACAACTTTAACTACAATTTTGAAAATTTATTTGTTAACTATTCATTTTTATAAAATTAAATAACTAAGAAAACATTTCTTATAAAACAAATAAACAGAAGATTTCAAAATAGTCCCTAGAACAAAATGGTAACCAATTAATGAAGAAAACAATCTGTTGAACCAAAATATATATATATATCACCAGAAAATAAGAAAAAATTTAAAAGGGGTATAAAAAAGATATATTTTTTTAAATATAAATGTATATAAGTTCAAAATGTAGAGAAAACAAGAGAAAATTACAGAACATTGAAAAAACTTATTGTTTTTCTTAATTTTCTTTATGCTTTTTTGTTTTTATTTATTATGATATATATATATATATTCAAACTACTTATCCATGATGAAGAGAGTGCTGATAATATAGACAGTGTTAAGCCTGGGGAGATTTCCATATCGCAAATCACCAAGACTACCCGGCAGTGGCCAACGAGAAACTAAAAAAAAGACATCACAGAAAGGGTCCAACTCGAAAGGTATAACCAGGCAAACATCTACATATTTTTTTGTAACAAAAATTTGCAAGTTTAGAATCTATTTGGCACCTTGGCGATTGTAGTAGGTGCAACAGTTAATGATATGGAAATTATCCCTTAAGCCAGCCTATAACCCTAAGGATAAAGAAGGTATGTTTTCCTAATCCGAGCAAGTACTTAGAGAATCAACAAGAGGAGTCAGCAACTATAGTTTGTCTAAGCTAAGAATTCATCCTGCAACAAAGTCTGAGGCCGTGTGGTGCTATGGAAACAAAAATGGTGCATTTTGGGGAGGGTAGCTTCACTCTACACAATAGACCGAAAAAAAAGATTCCCTTTCTCTCTCCGACCCGAAACAGTGACCCCGCACCCCTACTTGAAATAGTCATACCTCGTTACCATAGTCACCGCCACAGGCCCAGATGAATATCTGGGGGAGCTCTTATTTCAGACAAACTATAGATCTCCAGCATAAAGTATAATTGCAACAACAAAAATAACATGTTTAGGCTACTGTGCTCATTTTAACAGAAGATATCTGTGATGAATAGAAAAAGTCTTGATGACACTGTAATGACTGGGGCTACTGTAATGGCACAAGTAAATTCAATCTCATTTTTAGATTAATTTTTTTTAGAACTCAAAACATAAAAAATCGCTAAATTCACTTTTGTCTGGATCATAAAAGCATCTATTAAAAATTATTTTTAATTAATTTAAAATTGTGTGAAATCATTTTTATTCATTCAGAACAATCGGGCAAGCATATTTTAAGGTCTTAATTAATTAAAATTTTAAAAATAATGATAACAAGTTATCATTATTTCAAATTTTAATTAATTACTGATTAATGTGTGTAAACAATTAATTATGGATTAAAATTTAATTATTTATTCATTTACGTTCACTGTTTTACGCTCTTATTTAAAATCAAGATATTTAAAAGGTTTTATCAATAAATTTAATTGTTGTAAGCTTAACTCACTTAAAAAAGTCAAAACCAAAAAAATGAATAAGTAAATTTTTTCATGCTTATAAAAATTAAAAACATAAACAGAAATGATATTTATTTCCTAATATCACTTTCATGCGCTTTTCAAATTAAGAGCAGAAGAGGTTAAAAATTATACGGTCTGAGGAATAGTCGCTTCTTTATCCTCTATCTTTGATGTGAACATCAAAAGATCTCCTAATTGCTCATACTAATATAAAAAATAACAAAAATTATAATAAAGAGCAAGTTTTGTAGTTTAAGGCTTCAGATAAGGTATTCTTACTCAGTAATGTTAATTTTTGTGATAAGAAATAGGAAAAAGCGCAAAACCTCAAATACGGCTGACGATCTTACAGCTGTTTGTTTACAATGATCTTGCTGCCTATTTCTGTTAACTCGAGTAAGTGATTAGGTGTCTCTGATTAATCTTTTTAGCACGCTTGCAGCTTACTTAATTCTTAAAAGAAAAGAGATTATTTGTTGGTTTTTTTGTATCGGATCATTCTTACTGAATGTGATTCACGCACATTCGATGACCATCGAGGTGTGAAAATCTGAATGGTTAGGCTGACCAACATCCTCAGAAAGCTTAAAAAACTGATGACACAATTTCTAAAAAAAAAACATTCGAAAATGGAAAATTTTGCTACCAGTTTTTAAGTTTACTGGGAAAGTGATAAGCTTAATTAGTGAGAATGGTTCTTAATAACTCATTTGATCAAAGCTAATTAACTATTGTCAATTGTCGGTGGAATGCATCTTTAATGATCTGTTGTTGTTGCAGTTAATTTACGTCGCACTAGAGCTGCACAAGGGGCTATTGGCGACGGTCTGGGAAACATCCCTGAGGATGATCCGAAGACATGCCATCACAATTTTGATTCACTGCAGAGGGGATGGCACCCCCACTTCGGTAGCCCGACAACCTGCGCGCGAAGTCGAGCACTTTATGGTATAACAGTTTAAAGAGGACCAATACCGCACACCCTCGGTCCCTAAGCAGACTGATCCAAGTGGTCACCCACCCGCACACTGACCGCAGCCAGTGATGTTTGAGCTCGGTGGTCTGCTGGGAACCGTGTCTTAACGATCAGTCCACTACGGGACCTTTACTGATCTGAATACCAGCCTGATGATCTGAATACGAGCAACGTGTGTACTGCACTAGTGCAATTTATTTCGAGCAGATGACGGTAGTTACCACCGGATCTCCGCATCATGTTCTCCAGTCGTTATTTGCGGCTCTGAAACATTAGCTCCATTACGTGCATTATCGGGAACAGTGGAGTTTAAATGACTTACAAGGTACTATCAGAGATAGAACAATATTATCAAAATCTCAGCATTTAGACTAAGAAATCGAATTTAAACTACACTGCTTCAGAGCCAAAAGAGAGAAAAAAGCATCTAGTTTGGTTACATTAGAACTACACTAATGGACTATTGGTAATGGTTATTTGGAATTTCTCTTTTATGATGATCTGAAGATAGTACTGGTGTACGCACTCACTAGTCTAAGACAATTTAAATCAGAGTGGACAGCCTATTGCCCAACCGATGTAGACTTTTCTGGCTGTGAAATCGCCGGGGATAGTGTATTAAAAAGTAGAATATGTTGAGCCACTTTGCTTTTTTAAATAGAATGCACGGCCAAGATATGGTAGGCGAAAGCTCTACCCACTGAACTAACTGGCAGCTGAGCATTTCTCGAACACCTGCCTCACATTTCGTAATGATAAAACAATAAGATACATTGAAAAAAGAGAGATTTAAAAAAATAATGCGTCTTAAACCTCATTTTTCTGAAAAAAATTTAGAAATAAAAAAATAAGGATAATCTTGTTTCGCTAAACAAGCACGGCTCAATGATAAAATATGATTTTTTTTTTTTTTTTTTAACATTACAGATTAATTCCTTTTAAAAACCATTCCTTAGTGAAATACTTTTATCACAGTAAATATGCAAGCATATCATTGAGTAGGAAAACAAATTTCAGGTTCATAGTTCCATTTGCATAAAGTTAATATTCTTCTATTTGCATTATACATTTGTGTTGTCTAAACCGTAACATAGAAAATCATTTACACTTAATTAGGAAAATATTGAGCTTTTAAAAGTTGGAAATTAAATTTTTCATAATTTATTTTTTGAAAAGCTCTTAGAAGGATGATTTGTAAGAATATAAATTCTTAAAAATAGTTAATTTTTTTAGTAATTGAAATTTAGAAAAACAATTAGCACTTTTGAAGATATGTTTTACCTTTATTAAAAAAATTGATTTTCAAGTATTCTTTATTTTTATTTTAAATAGCATTGGCATTTATTACTTTTTTTTGTTTTCACAGGCAAAAACTTGAAATTCTAAAAGAAAAAGGGGAAAAAAAAGGATGCAAATTTCATTTTTTTTTAAATACTGTTAAACATTAAATCGGGTGTTTTGGCAAAAATTTAAATTCCTAAAAATAAAATAATTTTTTCAAACATGTTTTATTTACAAAAAATGCTTAGTATCTTGAAACCATGATTCCTTAGTTTTAAAATTGGCACTTTAATTTTACGTTAAAGATTTTCATTTGATTGGTAGAAAATTGGTATGCCAATTCCATAAATTAAACTTCATACCAAAGAGTGCAACTCTAGCTGAAAAACATAACATAAAATATTGTTTGCTATAAATTCGATTACGAGACATTCTGTAAAAGTTGGTAGTTCTCAGAAAAATGGTCATTTCATGTTCCTAAGTAAAGTCAAAATTATTTTATTCAGTGACGTAAATAAACTGTTGTTATTTGCTAATTAGAATTCAAATAAAATTTCAAGATATCTTTTAAATGCAAATCATTACACCCTCATTGCGTCCCCATTCACACATGTAGTTAAATTAAAAAAAAAAAATTCTTCTACATTTCAGCATGCATAATTTATTAAAAGTACTAGATTTTATTTATTTGTTATTTGAGTATATGTAAGCTACATTTTTTAACATTGGTTGCTATGGCGATATTATAGAACAAATTTTTTGTGTAAATAAAAAGTGTTATACTTCTTGCAAAATGGAATTATTTTATTTTAGTTGAGTAGTTTTTTAGAAGTGAAAGACGTGATATTGCACTTTCTGGTAGAATATGTTAACATAATTAAATTAAGTTTTATCCATCATATTGTCTTTACATCTAAGGCAATTCAAAAATATACTAGCCAAATCTAGTTTGTGCAGCACAAAAAGAAATAACTTTGTTTTCAGTTGGAAAACATTCTAGTGAACATAGATCTTAAGCATTACATAAATGTAAGCATTTTTATTGTATGTCATTCCCTCATTTAGAATAAAATTAATAAAAGGAGACAAAATTTTCTTTTTCTTTCGTTAAATAAATAAAAATGTTTATCCATAAATATTCTGTATTTGAGAATGTAACTAAGCCTATTAATTTTTAATAAAATTGTTCATGGAAGAAATTTAGTATTCCCTCATTTTTCTAACTAATAAAAATAATTATTATTCCAGTAAATTAGATACAGAATGGCTTATAATGTTTTTTTTTTTATTAAATTCGATTTAGTTGTACCAGTACACAAAATTTTGAAGAACAAATCTGTTTGAGGTCATTTTTTATTTAAATGAGCACTTTTCAGAGAATGACTTAAATACACATTGTCTCAAACACGTTTATTACAGGATAATATAAAATAGCTGTCTTGCATTGATTTCAATAGAGGATATAAGGATTATTTTCATTCTTATTTAAAAAATCTAAATCTAAAATTATACGAGATTTAATATCCATATACAGTGGAACCTGTAAAAGTGACCACCTGGGTAAAGTGAACGCCTGAGTAAGGTGACCATTTTCTACTAGTTTTATTTCAAGAGTCCTTTATAAAGAGTCTTCGTAAAGTGACCACCTCTATATAGTGACCATTTGACTTGGTCCCGAGGGTGGTCAATTTAGACAGGTTCCACTGTAATTATATTTAAAACAAATTAACAGCTTAACTTTAAAACAAAAAAGGCAAATTTATTAATTGAACCCTCGACACATATCAGTTATGTAATTTTTTAAATAAATAAATAAATAAAAATAATTTATGTTAGCAAGATAATTCGTGTGAATTTATGAAGCAAGTTTAGAATTGTTGTTAAGGTAATGCCGGCTCTAATGGGCTAAAATGTTATAAGTAAACAAATGTAGAACTTATAATAAACACAAAACAAATATTTTTTTTACAAAAAAAATTTATTATCAAACATTTATGATGAAAAATGGACGGAATATATCAACAACATATGTACAAAATTACATTGCATTTAATTGTACATCTGAAATAAAAATTTCATTCCAAGATATTCACACTTCATTAAGCCCAGAGGAAAAAAAAATATATATCCGAGTAAACACACCACATAAAAGCACATACACAGAAACAATTGTACTTATTTAAAAAAAAAATCACATCATGAAGAAATAGAAGTTTAAACAACCAGTGAGAGGAGATTGGCAATATTAAATGTAACAGTTATGTTTTTGGAACAGGTAACTAAGGATCATTAAAATGTATTAGTTTAGCTATGTGGTTTGATCTGTTTGCCAAAAATGGTTTTTATATCCTATAACCTGAGCAATATCAAATGTAATTTTTTTCCAATTATAACTAAAGTTATATTTGATTCAACCTTGAGATCAATTACTTTATATTTTTGAGCTTTAAATTAAAAATCTAGAAAAGAACAATGTTTATGTTTTTCTAGTCAATAAAGTCAGAAAGGGTTCTATTATGCAAAGCAGCATCGATCTATTTATTTTGGTATCTAATTTTTAAAGTAAAATCTATAACAGATTCCTAAAATTTTTTGTCTATTTATATACTATTTGTATTTTGATTTATACATAATAATGTTTAGTTACATTTTCCTTGTCATCACAGCAATGGAAATGTTAACAAAAACCTTATTTTCTAGAAAAGAGTACACATCATTAAGAATTTTGTTACATGAAATTTTATTATATTGTATATCGCGCATTGTTTGTAAATCAAATTTTATGTAGCAGCTATAAAAAGTTCCTTAAAAATAACTGTTATGTATCACCTTAGAAAAACTGTATAATAATGAATGGGGTAAGTACAAGACAAAACAATTTTATTGCTTACATACACTTCAGTATTTTTGCTCATATTCGGTTTTAGGTAAATATATTACATAACAACCTATTTTTTTTACAAGGTTATGTACAATTGCATGGAACAGAAGAAAAAGCAAACAAATAAGTTCCTATAACACGTTTTTGTTTCTTAAAGTTAATATAAAAGAAATTGGATCAGTGTATCATTCTGTATTAAAAGAAATCGTGAGTCATATTAATATTTATTAATACATTCAATAATAAGACTCCTTCATTTTGCACTGAAGTAAAAATTTTGACATTGATATGATAACTGAGAAGAAGACTTATTGCATCAAGAAAAATAGTGAGTCATATAAATATTTATTAATACATTCAATAATAAAACTCTTTCATTTTGCACTGAATTAAAAATTTTGACATTGATATGATAAAGGAGAAGACTCATTGCATCAATAAAAATAGTGAGCCATATGAGTATTTAATTTAACATTCATAACCAGATAATTTTGATGAAAAGTTATAGCATCAAGAGCCACTTAAAGCAACATTTAATAACAATACCTTTTTGGTGCGTGTAAATTTATAAATCTAAGCATAACAGAGATGAAAACTCATAGCACCAAGGAAAATAGTGAGCTTCTCAAAGAATTGATGACACATATAAATGATACATTTTTCGTTGCCCAGATTTTAAAATCCAAGCAACATGATAACTTAGATAAAATTTAATAGGAACAAAAATGAATTTTGATACTTAAATAATTTTTTGACTGAAATTTTACAAAATTATTTTTGACACCTATTTATAATTAGCAGAAAGTCACTAGCCAGCATGATTACACAATTAAATTACTTTAATAACCTCAGGGAATATAAATACTAACTTTTTCATTATAACAAAATTTAAAAATATGCAAAACAAAAAATGATCAAGGCCATTTGTAAAATGAAAATATGAGATTCATATAAAAATAATTTTGCATTTTTTATTCGGAAACAATTTTTTAACATTAAAAACGTTATTAAAATTTGAGCTGAATACACAATGCATCTTTAGTACTTGTCAAAAACAGTTTCTTAACATTCTCACTAAAAATAATCCTATTTCAAAAATAGAAATATCACACACACACACTCTATATTTTAAGAATTGCTAATCACCATAAGTACAATAAAGATTATAAAATGCAAATAAATAATAAGATGTAAATAGGTAAGAGATCACTCATATATATATTCCANGGAATGCATTAAAGCTACAAAAGTCAAGGAAAACTAATATTTTTTAAAAAAATGCATGTGTTCATGACAAAAAAAAGATGACAAATTATGAAATACAAAAGTAAAAACCCTTTCTTATTACAGATATAAAAAATAGTTATATATTTTAAATACCAGAGTAATTAATTAATTAAGCACTGAAAAAAAATATCCCTGATTTTTCTGAAATTTTTTTTTCTTACAAATTTTCCTGCATTGGAATGCATAAAAGCTGCAAAAATAAATATAAATAAAAGTTTGTATGATTGCACAAAAGGGAAATTTTGATTAAAATACCTATGTCCAGATTGGAAAAAAATGATAAAATAAAACGCAGATATAAAGATAATTTTAAATATATATTATAAATATCAGGAGGACCACAGTAATAGAACAAAAAAATTTCTGATTTTTTTTCTAAACTGATTTTTAACAAATTTCATACAATTAGAATGTTTTAAAAACTACAAAAAGAAATAATAACTAATATTTTCAACAGTTGCACAAGGGGTAATTTTTGATTAAAATTGCATATCATCAGGACAGAATACCTGATAAATGATGAAATAATAAAATAAAAACACACTTTTACAACATATATAAAAACAGTTATAAAAAATATTTCAATTACTAGAAACGCTATAAACACAGAAACACTTTTTCAATTCTATGATTAACATTTAAAGTCTGTCAGCTGTTTCAATTTATGACATATTAAGTGATAAACTGGTAGCTGCGATTATTATCAGTAAAAATAAATGTTAAAACAAAAATTATGTAAGGACTTTTTAAGCATAAATAAAATAGAGTTTCCTTCATATTGAAAATAAATATCTTTAATGCTGCAAAATTTTTAAAAGTGGCAAAATTTTAATACAATTTTATAAACATAAATACATTAAAGAAGCAGAAAAAGCTGTTAGTTGATATCTTTATATCGATATCACAGTTATCGTTGGAATGCTTAAGCATATTATATCAAATACAGGGAAATTGAATTGCAGGATATGCACACACAAAAAAAAAGGTTAAAATTTTTGTGCTAAAAATTATCCAAACTAATAAATTTTGCGTTTTAAGTTTGATCTTCAATTGATTTAAAGCAGGTTTTTTGTAATAACTACCACAATGCCTTATTTCAAATTTTTTTACAAATTTTCAATTTTTGAGACCCATTTTGTAAAACCCAATTAAAAGGACTCAGTGAAAACCCTGGATATAAATGGAACTAAAATCAAGTATCACGTAATTTTTATCTGAATTTATATAAACATTATGAAAAAAAGAGAATTTTATGTTTTCTCTAACCTAAATTAAGCCCCTTTCCATGACTTGCAGGTAAAATTTCCTGATTTTTTCCAGATTGATAAAATGCCTGGTACTACTTGAACTATAGCAGTATTCTCCACAAGTGTTCCTGCCTGCCCTTTGATACCTATAAAGGCATCTTTTTTGTAAAAATAAGCCGCTCAGCCCTTAAAAACACTGCCTTTTTAATCAAATTTCATTAAAAAAAATTATTTTTTCTGGAAAGAAATTTATGTTCAGAGATTATCTATTGGTACGTCTTTGATTACTTTTATAAACTACAAATTTTTCTCTCATTCTGGTAATGAGGGAGAAATATTTTTTCGAAACATACACATAAAAAATTAGATTACACATAAAAGAGGGTAATTTAAAAATTGTAAAATAAGATCAAACTCAGTTATTACATAATATTACACATTTCAATACATTTTTAGGGTGTTGACTGAGTGCCCTTTCAAAACTTATAATGTTTTTTTCTGAGAGGCAGCACCCTGCCCTTTTTTATTCCTAGGGAAATCCCATTGCTATGTTATAGTCACCATAGATATATATTAGATGTTTCCTTGCAGAATTAAATATAATAACACACACAAGTTTATAATTTTAAACAATTATAAAAAGAAATTAGTTAACTTAAAGAAAAAAATCATAAACATATTACGATTTGAAATTAATTTTTAAATCTTGCATAGCCACATTACAGGGATAAGTTGGTAAAAAGTACCAACTGTCAATGGCAATTAATCATTGCACAGGGAATCACACATGGGAGAAATTTGGTTATGCAATAAAGCAACCAGGTTGTACATTTTTTTAAAAAAGAAAAGGAAATCAACAAGTTTTTGTTTTAAATTTACACAATTTTTTAAATTTTTTTTATCTAAACAAATTTTATAACAAGAGATCATATTTTAAAGAGGTTTATAATAAAATATCGATTCTGAGAAACATATTTTGCTCAAAACAAATGACTATAACGGTACTTATTAATGCAAAAAAAGTAGAGGACTTGAAACAATAGCAGATCTAAAAGTAAACAAATATCTAAAAACATGATAAAAACAATAATTTTGATTCATTTAGAAAAAAAGAGGAATGTAACTAAATCACCGAGAAATAATATAAAATTACACACAAAAATACAACATTTGTATAACATAAATGCAACAATACCCAAAAATACACTATACTATAAAATTAAAAATTACATAACTGCTATGCAGCAACCTACGTGAATTTTTTAAAAATCAAAATAACTAAATTTTAAGTGCCAACAATAAACATTTTTATTTGTTATAATACACTAACAACATTAAAAATAGTTTAATTTAGGAATGAAAGCATTTGTCCAAAGCAGATAATTGTCAATAGTTTGCAATTTATTTGATATAATTGCTAAGTAATTTTGAATTATATTTTGAGCTATATTTTCTTTGATAAAATTCAATATAATGGAATGTAAAACTCAATTTGTAAAATCTTTCGCAGGAAGATTTTTAATGCATATAACAAAAATAACATGATTTTTTGATTTATTAAAAAAAATCAACAATCCCTGAAATTAAAATTACCCCTGAATTAAAATTATGAGCAATTAAAAACTCTAAAATATCATGGTATGAAAGGTGAAAACCTTTTGATAAAAATGATAATTTTTAATGTACCTACAGCAATTTGTTTTTGTTAAAATATATCGTTTTTAAGAAAAACTAAAAGTAGTTAAAAGTAGTTTGAAAAGGTCAACTATTTTATGCAAATTATTTTGGAGCAAACTCTTCGATTGTGATCTAATAGAGTGCCAAACTTAGTTCATGTAAAATGGAGATTCTTAATACAAAAAGAGTATATTTCTTACGAACATACTTTTCTCACAGCATATGAAGTATAAATCGATGCAGCAACAAACCCATTAAAACAAAGACTAAATGGGCTGTGACAGCCGAGGCACCAGCAATTCGGCACTTGAGAGTATCAAACCGGCTGGGAAAGTTCTTCAAAAGCTTCTCAAATTCAGCTTCAGTGATTTGTCCATCAAAGTATGTGATGTAATCATTATAGGGATATTCGTAGCCTTGGTTGCACTGACACTTATATCCACCAGTGTCAAAGCCTCGGCCCAGAATCGGAACACACTGAAAATTAATTTTAATAGGATTAATAAAATTTTAATAATGCAATGAAACTCTTGAGTAAATATAACCAGGGGTCTGTCTAGGTTTTTATGAAAGGTACCTATTTTGTGAAAATTTAGACATAATTTGTGAAAAATTAAAAATTATATTAAAAAATCAACACAAAAATATGGTAAAAATATGGATTTATTGCTTCTTAAGGGATGCAAAAATAAAATTTTAAGAAAAAGTATTTAGTGAAACTACCGTTTTTCCTAGTTGGTAGTTTTACAAAGTTGAATTTGTAAAACTACCGTTTTTCCTAAAGTTGAATTTGTGAAGGTACCGCTAAACGGTAGTAAATTCGGCCTGGACTGACCCCTGATAACATACATATTAGTTGACTAAAAAACTACAAACAATTTATAAATTGAAAGAGATAGAAATGTACAGTTAAATGCATTTTGCTGCGCAAACAAGAGATTTATTACTGACAAGTTTCCAATTTTGACAAAAGATTTGTCAACAGATGGCATTAGTGACAAGGCTTTCAGAATAGCCATTTTTTTGCATCAACAAGTGAAGTGTGAGGCTAAAGTTAATAAACGCATTTTAACATAATAGATTTTGTTGGAAATGCCAGATATGCAGCAATAAATATGGTTTAATAGTTTTTTTTCCATCAATTTCCATCTGATCAGGAATTTAATAGCTAACTTTAAATCTAGGTGAAATTAAATGTTCTTGTTTCTTAAGCAGAAAGCAGCAAACCATAAATTTTTATCTCCTTAAGTTTTTTTTTTGTATTTTTAAAAATCGATTTTTTAAATCATCAGTTTTTGTTGGGACACCTGTAAATGATAGATTCATAAACATAGTCCTTAAAAATCCTATAAATCTTTTCAATAATAATTTAAAAAAATACAATGCAAGTTTACTGATTAAAATTTAAACTTCATAAATCTATGCAAATTTGATTTCATGAATCATATTTTATATTCATAATGAATGCCTCAAAGAATACAAACACAGTATTTACTAATTACACCTTTATTTCTTTAAATATAACCCTAAGTTATATTCTTTTAAAACTTTTTAAGTAACTCCCCCCCCCCTGAATAGTAATTTATTTCTTTATTTGGAACTTCACTTTTTTTGTCACTGTATTTTATCAGAGAAGGACTCATAATTAACAATGGTCCATTGGTCTGAGATCACTAAAACTTGACTTGGACNGACCCCTGATAACATACATATTAGTTGACTAAAAAACTACAAACAATTTATAAATTGAAAGAGATAGAAATGTACAGTTAGCAGCAATTTGCTGCACAAACAAGAGATTTATTACTGGCAAGTTTCAAATTTTGTCAAAAGATTTGCCAATAGATGACATTAGTGACAAGGTTTTCAGAATAGTAACAAAGTGGTGAAGTGTGAGGCTGAAGTTAACAAATGCATTTTAACATAATAGATTTTGTTGGAAATTCCAGATATGCAACAAAAAATATGGTTCAATAGTTTTTCTCCATCAACAATGCCATCTGATCAGGAATTTAATAGCTAATTTTAAATCTAGGTGAAATTAAACGTTTTTGTTTCTTAAGCAGAAAGCAGCAAACCATAAATTTTTATTTCCTTCAATTATTTTTATTTTTGAAAAAAAAAATGATTATTTAAATCATCAGTCTTTGTTGGGACACCTATAAACTATAGATTTTTAAGCATAGCCCTTAAAAATCCTACATATCTTTTGAATAACAATTTTAAAAAATACAATGCAAGTTTACTGATTAAAATTTAAACTTCATAAATCTATGCAAATTTGAATTCATGAATCCTATTTTATATTCATAATGAATGCCTCAAAGAACACAAACACTGTATGTATTAATTAAACCTTTATTTTTTAAAAAAAATATATCTCTAAGTTACATTATTTTAAAACTTTTTAAGTATCTCCCCCCCCCCTCCGAATAATCATTGATTTCTTTATTTAGAATTTCACTTTTTCTTACTGCATTTTATCAGAGAAGGACTCATAATTAACAGTGGTCCATTGGTCTGAGACCACTAAAACTTGACTTGGACCACTGTAAAATAATTATTAATGGTCCCCTGTAACAACAATATATGTAAACATATGATACGATGGTTTTGGTTTTTTGATTTCATATTTTGGTCAGAGTTATTGTCACAAAATAAGATAATTGACATTACACATTATCTGTAGAGTAATTTTTAATTAAAATTCAATTAATTAACTTTTTAAAAAAATATATATATATACACAAAAAGGAGCAGTAAAAAATTGCGAATGGACTAGTAATACCTTTTAATTACCAGTCCTTTGGATTCGCGATAAAATTTTACCCCTACAGAGTACTTAAAAATTATATTTTGGTAAGAAGGAAATTTATAAGAAAAAGTTTCTTACTCTTGATGATCTACGATCACATTTATGAGTGCCTTTAAATGCATTCTGAACATAATGCATATCATCATCACATTGATTAATATCTAATTCTTCTAACTTCATGTTTACAGCAACAACACCCCTGTAAAAAAAGAAAGAATAATAGATTACCATCAAACTTAATTTTTGTTACAAGAGAAAGCAAACAAATGAGATATTTTGACTGAAAATAAATATAAATTGCACCCTGATAGCTCAGGGTGCAATTTATATAAGTTTATTTTCCTTTTAATTTTATATTTTCACTTGAACTACAGATGAAAAATTGTGTCAGTATAAAGTAGCAACAACAATGGAATTAAAATTAAATAAAGTTTCATAAAAGTATAGTCATAAGCATTTAAATTAATTAACTAATCGTCGTAGATTAGTAAATTAGAATATAAGTGTAAGGGACAATATTTAATGCCTGGAGCAAAAAAAATTTTCCTTATTGTAAGAAATTTGAAGCATTTTTGCATGTTTATTTTACTTTTTTCTTTCAGAATCTTTTGTACTTCTCCTTCTGAAATTGCAACAAGAATTTTTTTTTCTTCATATAAAGCTAATTATCAATGTACAAAGTTATACAGTTGCCAATGTATTAATTATTTCATGTAATTGTATTAATTTTACATTCAATGTAAAATTTAACACAGACATAAAAAACTCTTTATATAGTTAATGTCTCAAAGTTAATTACACAAAATAAAAATTTGAAAGAGAAAAGAGATACTTTTGAACTTAATTTTAAAACAAATAAATTAGTAACAAAAGAAATAAATACTTTAGAAAAAGCAAGCCAATAAGATAATTTATTTTGCCCTTAGTTGTAAAAATAAGACATAATTTATAAAAATTGGGAAACAGGACAACAATGTATTAACAATGTATTTGCTATTGCTGAACCCTGAAAATAATTTTTAATTGTGTTAAAATTATGAGTATTATTAATATACTTCATTAAAATTAGTGTATTTTTAAGCATCTAGATAAAAGAATAAACAAATAAGTGTAAGTTTAAAAATACAATCTTGAACCTTGATGGCATGAAAAAATCTGAATTAGCCATGCATTTACAATACTGATAATGGAAGAAAAAAAAAATTAATAGAAAAAGATTTAAAATTTTTAGTTTAACTTTTTTTTTTTTTAAACTTTTAACATTTTTAATTTATTTCTTCTTAGCCCTTCATTTCAAAAAATTTTTTTTGCCAATTTCTTTTTTTTTTTTTTTTTTAAATTTTTGATAAGTTTAAAATAGTTTCTTAAAATATTCTCAATAGCATTTATGAATAATTTCTTATCCTGCAATAAGGATGAGAATATCATGAGAAGATGCTTGAATTATTAATTTGCAAAAAAGTTAACATTACAAGGCAAGGGTGCAAAGAAGTCTACGATCTGATGATCCCCATAACTCTACACCTACTATGAACAAATTAAAGAAATTTATTGAATCTAGGACCAGGGGTACAGGGGTACTTTTCGGTGAGGTGGAATGCGGTTCTAAAACTTTAATGATATTAACAAATTAAAGGCTAAATATGCTAATGTGTTAAGTTTGAAGATAATTGTTTTAGATAAATATAATTAGCCAATTGCAAAATTAACTACCTATGAAAACCTAAATTTTGATTTAAACTGCAGTTACATTTTATTTCTTTACAGCTGATACCAGGTAAGGTAAAAAAAACAATCATTCAGTATGGAAACCTTTTTAAAGCAGTTGAATAAAAAAGTTTTACTAATAAATATTGAAGATCCTGTATATTACAACTTTAATTTTAAAACAAGAAAAAGTAAAAATACAGGAGCAAATAAAAATATTTAGAATTGTTTTTAGGTAAATGTAGATAAATTATACAAGTTACAATAAAATAAATCTAAGTAATTATTTTCGATAATTTAAATATTTAATCTCCCTCTTGTGATGCCATGACTTGCACTCTAATAAAATTTTAGTACAATATCGCTTAGAACTAAAATAAAAGTAAAGGAACTGGTAAAAAAAAAAATATGTGGCTTGCTATACTGGATTAACAAAAAGTCAAGTTAAATTATTTTTATTTAGTTAATTGATATAAATAAAGTTAATTTATTGTGAACCTCTATTTTGTATTGAGACATTTTATATCATTCTCAAAACCTTTATCAGTTTAAGTAAAGAAGTTATTACAGGGTACGTAGCTAAATCTTTCTACGAAAAATAAGCACCTTTTAAGTACTTTTTATATACATTAATAAAATGCAAAATAATCTTGAAAGACCATACATGATCATGATAAAATAACTAGTTTCTGACAAAGAACTCTTTCAACTAGCCATTATAAAAGATCGCGAAATTTTTCGGTTCGATTCCAGAGGGTGGAAAATGAAGTCTGAAATTGAGAATATCTTGCAAAATGCAGCCGAGTTGCACACGAGAGAGCAAGAATCTCACCTAACCCTGCTCAGTATATGCACATGCAGTCTCACAAGTATTTCCTCAAACATGTAAAATGATCAGCGCCTTCATACACTAAGGACCGACGGTACGCAAAAATGCATTGTTAGAATGAGATGTTAAATAGAACAACGTGAAAACACGCTTTTGCTTAAAGCGCGACAAAAATTGACATGGTAAAGAAAAAAACCTCATTTTTGAAAAGAGAAAATTAAGCACTTTTTAAAAACACTCAATAAAAAAAACACCTTTAAAGGGCTTTAAAAATAAAATCCGAAATAAGCACCCTTAAGCACTTTTTAAAAACACTACACACCATGTATTATTATTATTTTTGGATTTTTGATATTGTGCATGTAATTTACAATAATGAGGTTTGATTGTGTTGGAAAATTACTTACTTAAACTCCAACCTGCTTTTAATTTTATCCCATCCGAAAAATGGAGCGGCAAAAGTTAACAGCCACTGGTTATGGATGCCACCGCAATCAAAATAAGGGACAGACCAGTAGCCATGCTTCATCTCTGCAGCTTTGTACTGTAGTGGATATCGATCATACTGGATGTTATAAAGTCCAGACGAATTGTAGCGGATCTTCATTTTTGTCGTGTAAGTTTCCAAATTATCGGTATTTGCAGCCCACTGGATTTTTAACTTCTTAAACCAATCTTTTTTTAAGTAGCTGTCCTTTTCCTCATTCCGTGCTAAATCTTCAACAAAAAAGCTACGGGTATTCTTTGCTTTACGGAAAGCATATGGAGCAAAAAGGGTACGGTTGATGAATTGGTTTCTGTCAAAATAAATGCCACACCCTTGTATTTTTTCATTGCCGATTACAGCAGAGAGTGCTTCTCCGATGACTTGATCTTCAGTCAGTGGTCTGTCGGGCACTCGGAACTCTGCAAATAAATCATTGGGATCCACTATTTGTAAAAAGGATGATATAAAGTTGGCTAAGCGTAACGCCATCCGAGCTTCATTTTCCAGCTGGATTTCTTTTCCATACGCTATGTCACCCCTTAAGAACAATAAATCAGGGTTTTGAAGACGGACTTTTTCACAATTGAATTTTGTTACCTGAAATAAAAACAAATTTTAGTCTTGAAGAGAAATAAAAATTAAAACTTTAGTAAAAAAAGATATTTTTATAGGTTTCTTTCAGAATAAAATTTTTTTTTACTCGAAGGGGAGGAAATTGAGAATGAAAATATATTTTCAGTCTAAACAAAAATAATATTTTTAGTTTTTATGTCTTTACAGACTTTTTTTTATAAAGAAATTTTTTTTACCAAATTACAACTAAGGAGAAAAAAAAATCGATTAATTGATAAATGTACTGAAAAAAAAATATATATTTATACGAAATTAAAGTTATGAGTTCTTAAATAAAAAGATAACCCTGCTAAATTTAACACAAGCGACATTAGAAGAAAAAAAAGTAGTCCAGCAGACTTCTGCCTTTTATTTTCTTCTTGCTAAAGCAGAATTTATGCTTCAGGGTAAAATGAGGAAATTTTGTTATTGGCCAGTTATAGCATTTTTCAGAGCGAACAAGTTTTTAAATATGTGGCACCTATCGCAAAAATTGAAAATTTTAAATGATTATAAAAAAACCTTCAGAACAATAAATCAGCGTTTTAAAGGCAGATTTTTTCACAATTAAATTTTATTACCTGAAATAAAAACAAACTTTTGTCTCGAAGAAAAAAAAAAAAATAAAAATGAATACTGAATTTGACCAAAAAGATATTTTTGCATAGATTTTTCAGAATTAAATTGATTTACCCGAAAATTTTTCAGAGGGGGAAAAAAATGAAAATGTATTTTCAGTCTCCATAAAAATAATTTTTTCAATTTTCCTATTTTACAGACTTTTTTTTTTAATTGAAATTTTGTTACCTGAAAATAAAACAAACTTCAGCTATAAAGAAAAAGAAATAAAAAATAATCGACAAATTCTACTAAAATCTTTTTTTTATAAAATTAAAGTTCTTAAATAGATAACTCTGTCACATTTGACACAAGTGACATGAGGAAAATTAAAGTTACTTTTAGTTAGTTTAAAAACGCCAGCAGACTTCTGCGTTTTTATTCTCCTCTTACTAAAGCAGAGTTTATGCTATAGGGAAAAATGAGGAAATTTTGCTATTGTATAGTTATAGCATGTGGCCACTATTTCAAAAATTAAAAATTTTAAATGATTACAAAAACTGCTGTTATTAACAAAGTAGGAAAAATTATCAAAATATGGTAGAGACTATAAGGTTCATTTCTAAAATGAATAAAAAATTCAAAGAAAAAATCTTTATTTACTACAAAAATAATAAAATATAAATGGGGTGAATTTTTAACCTGCAGACGATTTTTTTAACACATTTACAACTAATTTTGACCAATAGTTTATGCTACTGCGTAAATTAAAAAACAAACACTAGATTGTACTGAAAATGTGTTTTTTTAAAAAAAGCACAAAAATAAGCAAACTGATTAAATTTTGAAGTTGTTAAGTAGAATAACACAATAAATATAAAAAACAAGTAAAACTAATGAGAAACCTCAACAATCCTACTTCCAATTAGGTAGGGTAAACCAACCAGTGAAGGAACACTACCCAGTGAAGGAACATTTCATATATATTGATTAAAACTAAGAATTTGAAAGTTTTTCTTTAGATTGATTGGTAACAATAGCTTACTGCTCAACAATAGGAAGTCATCTAGCAATGTTTTGGATTACCTGGTCAAATAGACTTCTCTTGAAAAAATTTTTATTTTTTGAATTTGTTATTATCTCTGCAACACCTTGTTTCTTTGAAAAAATTATAAGGTGAGTGTTTGTATTTATATGTTTGAAGTGGAATTAATTGCATGTAATAGT